AGGAGGTCCGAGAAAACAAAAAACTGTGCAACCACTAGCTTGCCAAGGACCTGATCCCCCAGGGCTCAAACTACATGATCAAAAGGTAGCTAGACCGTCAGACCCGATCCATCAGAATCCCAGCCCAAATACATCCATCATCCGTACGTTTTGTGGAAAAGAACAGCCTGGGCACAGCCTTCATGGCAAATTGCCCCTTCTTCTGCAGCTTTTCGCCAAAGAGGTCTGTGGTCGCGTCCAGCAACAGCGGCAGCGTCACCAGCTGCTTGGAGGATAAACCTGGATCCGCTTGCTGCCCTAGAAGGGACTGGCCCGGTCTTCATGACGCGGAGGATGGCTTCGCTTCTTGTACACATGAGATCTGCCACTTGGGTGCCTGCTTCTTGTTCGGGGCATGTCCCATTGTCCAAGCTGCTTTGGAGGGTCCATGAAGGTATAGGGACTTCCCCAACCAAAGCCTTGCACTCGAGCTGCTTTTGAAACTGCTTCAATTTAGAATCCTCAAACACTGTACACACACCTCTTGGGACTCCCAAATCCAAGACCACACCATGACCTGTTTTCAGCCCACACCTGCCCACCTGTCTGTACCGTGGCATGGGGACCGTTCGGCCCACCGTTCGGCCTCCCCCCCGGTCCGGTCCATTCAGCGACCCAACAGTCTTCTTCCCCACCTAGGATCGTGGCAGCTGCCAAGAACGCGCTCAAGGCGTTGGGCAGGAGCTGGAGCTCAGTGTCCTGAGCATCGGCCAAACACAGGGCAGCAGCAGCATCCGAACTGACACACGGATGAAATTGATCAGCAAAAGTGCATAGACTTAGAACACCACACTTCAATGATAACTGTGTGCCCAACTTCAAACCAACTTAAACACCCAGTCCCGCTGCAAGTCCCACATTGCAAAACGCTGCTATACCAAAATAACACACCTGTCATACCATGAAAGCAATGACAATGTTATTGTAACGATGGCACTCTAATAACGACGATGACAATCTAATGATCTAATGACAACGATGAACATCTAATGATGATGTCGACAATTTAGATCGATAGCAAAACAAGCACAGCAGAATGCACTAAACATGCACTTGTGCCATGTTTGAACAACCAGAAGAAGCTGGACTCATCCCCTCGCCCGATAACGGACACCATCCCCCCGCCCGCCTGATAACGATGACATTGTTGTGATAACGATGACCCGTTCACATCATATCATCCAAGGAACATAAACAGCACGAAACCACCCAGCGACCGAGGGAACCGCGGACAAATGTGTGAGCGGCCTATGGTGGCAAATCACTTCACCTGCGTCACAAGCTGATACCACTGTCTCCCTAGGGATCCAAATACCTTCTCAGAAGGTGATTGGACATTGTTATGGAGGGTTCGGTGCGACTGGATCCCTGGGGTCTCTTGACCAAGTCTCTCGGCCGATGTTGTCTGCGATGGACTGCGCGACGCTGCCGCCAAAGAAACCATAGCCCAGGATGCCGAAGGCCAACAGGAAGACTTCCTGGGAAGCGGAGGAAGAAAACCCGAGGGATTTGCCAACGAACTCCTGCCGGCACCACCCATGTCGCATGGTTGTTGGATGGAACATACATCTTCAGGGGTGTCTATAAACGCTATAAACACTGTGGGTGGTTTATCTTGAAAAGGTGTTTCCTCTACAAGACCAGTGCTTTCAGGTTCTATCTCAGTCTGAAAGGGAGGACTGCTTGGAGTGTCTGTTTTTCCACGCCCGGACCGTGGAGCCAGACGGTGGGCATGAAACAGAAAGCACATGAGAAAGCCAAGTGGCACGAGAAATGGGTGGTATATAGAACAACCATTCATCAGACCCAAAAGAGCTTGCCTATTACTTGGCCAGTGTGTGGGTGGGAATCAAAGTTCCCGTAAGACACAACAAACTGCTTATACAATTCTGGATTACCAAACCATACCATCAGCGCTCTCTGCGCACTGTGAACTGGGGTGTTTGTCAGCTCCTGGGGGATTCACACAGGGTGAAAACTATCAAGGCCACCAGGCAACTTCCCATGTCCTGTTCCAGTACGTGCGCACATGTGGGGTGGAAATCACATGTCATGTCTATTACGCATTGCTATTGATTTATAGCATTTGCACATTGTATGTGTATATATATAATATCTAATAGCAATGGCCTCCAACCTACTACCGATGGCCTCCAAGCAAATATACAAATATGAGATATGATATACCTGATATGCCCAGTCCGCTGGCGAATGCCGACCACCCCCAGTCCGCTGGCGGATTCAGTCCGCCGCACTCGTGCTGTGGAGCAAGTGTCAGTCAGTGTCATGCTGTAAACGACCACACGATTCCTCGGTGCATCGGTGAATCGGCTCGAAAGCAACATCCTTCAGCTGAACCGGGTCCATTTGTTGTCATCCTGAAGTAGATAGATGATGTGGAAGTCCAAAACCCAACAGGTTTATGGGGAAAGTCCAAAAGCATCGAAAACTAACAGGTGTTCAAAGGTTTTCATCTATCTACCCCAGGATGGTTGATAGCACAAGCATACTCTTGCACTCCCAAGGTTCCATTGCCGCTTGTCTTCCATCCTTGGATACATTGGAAGCAAAACTGCCGCACTCGAGACTTGACATCCTCATGGTGTTCTGACTCCCATGGAGGTTCTGAATAAACCTCTAAAATAAACTGGAACAATTTAATGCTATCAAATTGAAAGCCACGCTTCATGAACTATTCAAATGAACACTGTTACCGCTATGCATAGATACTCGGCACTCTCCATCTGGGACCTTTTCTCAAGGCTCTCGAAGCACAGTCCTAGCGGTCAACAGGAATGAGCGGCTGTGCAAGACTAAACTGGCAGCTAAGATCATCGTTCCGTCAGCTGCCGTAGAAAATGCTAAGTGAACATCTCAAGGATCATGACGAAAACCATTAGTACAAGAAGTCAGAGAACATGTAAAAGAAGAAGGCCATGAGTGGTCACGGAGGCATTTTCAAAGACAAAGTGCGCACAGCTTTGCCCAACTCCCAAAACATACCCAAAACAGAATGTTCACAAGGGTGGGTTAGTAATGGGTAGGGCTTGTCAAGCAGAAAGCGAGGTCCCGACAGAGGCCTGTCGGGTATGGCTGCGCTATTCTGGTCCATGGAATGCCTTGGTGGTTCGAACCCGTGAGCTGAAAGTGAGACTTGCCCGAAAAGCTGCAGAGGCCACGACCTTTACACAAATGTCGAAGGCGATCCACATCCTGAGTGTCCAAGTTGCCACACAGCAGGCATGTTCTCTTGCGCCACAAAGTGCCGTAGAAACAAAAGTCAACATGCACAGTGAGGACATGGTTGGATTGCATCAGCTTGCGAATAGGAGGCAAAAACCAACACTTGGATGTGAAGGGGTTCTCAAGGATCCATGGAATCTTTTGTCGATCTAACCAAGAGATGATTTTGAGCGCGGACCTGAAGCACTGGTTGCCAAGCTGAACTTTTACTTGGTCAGTCGGGCTAAGCATGTGATCAGGTAGCCCCCAAGGATGGTCTCTGGTTCGAATTACTGCCGTTCTATCTCTGGCAATTGAAAAACTGCTACACGGAGGTGCTAACATGGCTGCTAAAATCAAGCCCTGTTGAACGTCAAGCCGAAGTTGTCGCAGCACCGAACGCTTTGTAAGGTCAAACTGTGGCCCACGACTGAGTTCCCATTCTTTCGCTCTATACCCCAGTTGTCTGCAAGCTTTAGCGACTCCACCTTTTCCAGCAAAAAGGTCAGCGACATACTGACCCTTCAGCCCTTTGCTTTTGTAGGTGGACGCAAGGCGGGGGCCCGGCCCAACATCACATCCCCGAGCTGTCTTTCTGCGAGGAGGCAATGATGTTGGAGAGGTGGTGGAAGCATCTGGAAGGTTGCGGCCAGGCGAGCACTCTTCTCGTATCTGGCCACACTTTTGTGCGACCGCCACCTTCCTCTTTTCTGGACCTCGAGAAGAGACCGCAGGTTTCTTGAGCGATCTATTGAAGGCCCGCTGTGCCTCATCTGATATGGTGTCATGTCTAGCCCCAAAGTCTCTGTCACCTGGGAGAAAACCTTGAAGTAGTGGGAGTAGTTGAAGTTCCACAAGGGGAGGTCGGCGCCCTGGCTGGCGAGCGGCTTCAGCAGGGTTGCTGCCCAAGGCCTCATCCAAGGAGAGTCGAGGGCAATGCTGTCGTCGAACTCGCCGACTTTCGACCGGTCCATCCTTTCTTCTGGATTCAGCAAAAGACTCCAAAACTCTGTAATCCCTGGCGACGGCTTCACCAGGCTGAAGGCCCTGCATCTCAGCAGTTCTGAAGGACGGCTGTAGGAAGAGAGGCCCACCAGCGTAAAGACTGCCATCTGAAGATGTCCCAGCCTCTTCAATTCCAAGGCGATGGCACACCACACGCCTAGGGGATAGGCTTTCCTCGAGGTTCCTGGCGCTAAACGCCTCCAGCCTTTGAGACATCGCCAGGCTCGCGGCAGCCGACTGGATCCCAGCTTGCTGTACTCGGACTGGTGGTGCATCACGGTGGCGATGATTTTGTCCCCCCGATGCGCTGGGTGACCCCTCATGAAAAGGTCGTTGAAGTACTCCACAAGGGTTGCATCCAGTTCGCGTGGGAGAGTCATCATCAGCTTCCGCGTCTTGGCAAAAATGAGCAACTGCTTGTACTCCTCTTGGTAGTACTTGGCGCTCCGGTCCCCAATAGCTTTCTTTTCTAACAAGCTGAGACCCATGGACTTTGCCTCCATGGCCTCTTGCACATACTTCCGAAGCCTGCCTCGACTTCGCTTCGCCAGTGCCTTGGTTCTGACATCCCTGGCAGGTTCTGAACTCGAGGAACTGGCGGCACTCTCGAGATCGGGCTCCATCTGCTTCCGCGGTTGCGGGAGCTTGTCCATGCCTTTGACCAAAGACTCTAGGCTGGGTGGCAAGAAGGACGGCTTCTTCAGCAAAGAAACTGTTGGGTCTGTCCGCTGGAGGGAGGAGGTCCTGGCTTTCTTCATGACTGGCATGGCACTTCCTTTCTCCAGCACTGCGCATCTTCTCTTTTGGCTTTGAAACCCCTCTGGCGGTTGCAGCACCCGTTTTCTTGAGGTCGGCATGGTGCAGCGCGTGAGGTCTGAGGCCAAAAAAGTCAGACCGCTTCACGACATGCAGAGGAGACCGACTAGGTTCATCTGCCGGGTTGAGCTCCGAAGCTACCCACCGCACTGAAAACGCAATGTTTCGAGCCAACCCATAGGAGCAAAACTTTCGGATCTGTCTCAGCATCTTGAAGTTGCGACTTCTGCATCTATCGAATGCCAATGCCGCACTCATTGAATCCACTAAAAAGAGTTGTCTGCAGTCCTTTGAATGGGTGTCTTCAACCAAGTACTCAAAAGATTTCACCAAGGCCCGGGCTTCCAAGTGCACGATGTGCTCGTGCTTCTTCCACCTGCCTTGCCGAACGGTTTGCCAACTTCCATCTCTGAGCTTGTGAGCGGGGACTTCTGGAAAGTCAGTTCTGAGGTCCCAGCCACTGAGCTTGAGGTACTCCTCATCATCGAGGATACCTTCGGCCCACTTGCCCGACACCTCGTCTTTGACAAACCCCGCTGAAGTCAGCGCCGTCTCTCTGGCACTGTGGCTCCCGGCACGCTTGAATCGGTCTCGTTCAGAAACCCTGCCAACTGCTGCTGCCTGAGAAGATGTCCAGACAGCTGCGCAAACCCCAAAGCCCTCTTCACTGGCGTCGGACACTGGCACCAACTCATTCCAAGGCCGGCACCAGTCAGAAGCAATCAGCGGCATAAGGCCGCAGAATGCCCGTAGCTCCGCCCTGACGCTATTCCAAAGAGTTGCTGGGTGATCATGGTGGGAATGGATGAACTTGTAAACGTTGTGGAAAACTGAAAGCAAAGCCCTATTCATCAAACCACAATAAGTGCAATGACCGATGAGTATCTCAAGGACCCGACCACTGCATCGACCTCGTCTTAGAAGACAACGTAGCCCTTGACGAACGCGGTGATACCTGTCGGGGCCAAGTGAGGAGAAGAGGTTCTGCCCATCCAGTTGCACACCAAGCGCTTTGATGCACTCATGCTGTATCTCGCCTGGATGGAGAAGCAATTTCTCCTGGGTGAACTTGCCAACCAGATCATCCAATGCTCCACTGACGGCCTGGCGGTCGGTTGACATCACCCCGAGGTTGTCCACATAGACAAAGTGCTTTAATTCATCAGGGAGGTGGTCACTAAAAACCGCTGGCCCACCTCGATCGTGGATTAGAGTAGAAGATGATAAACTGCTCACTCTTCTCATGACCACCTCGTTGATGCGTTGAGCAAAGAACAATGACCAACTGAACCCCATACACAGTGATCCCGGCATCGGGAACACCAAGTCATTCGAGCTGAGAGTGTGGCCCTCCAGCACAGTTCCGGTGAGCCCAACATGCTTGGCCTCGATTGGAAGGAAGCAAAAGTACTTCGACAGCCATCTAGGCTGCTTGATGCGATGAAAACAATCACGGACATCTGAGAGACCTGCATAGATGCCTAGTTCCGGGTCATCACCATCATGCATGTGTGTCTCCATCTCAATCTTTGCAAAGGTCTCAGCGGTTGGCAAAGAGATGCCGGGTGGCTCTTCAAACTCTGCGTTGGCTGGTCTTGCATCTACGATCATGCGAATACGTTTCCCATCACTTTTCCAAACAAAAAACACTCCAGCATGCTGTGAAGGGGACAAAGTGAAATCAAGGTACTTGATGTCATTCAAACGCTGAATAAACTTGCGATATCTACCTGGGTTATGTCGGAGGGCAGGATCCCAATACGGCTTGATGACTTCACTGTCTTCCTTGGGGATTTCCCGTAACATACGCTCTTGCCCCTGCAGGTATCGACGGTCGGCCTCCTCCAACAGTTCCTCAGCACGAGGAGCGTCACAAAGGTCAGTTGGAAGGGACACGAGCTCGAGGTTGTAGGGCGCTAACGAGGCCGGCGTCGATGGCTCGGCATAACCATCTCTGCCTCGGAGCAGCTCACCATAGGCTGCCTCCAGTGACGGCAAATGACCATGGTCACCCAGATCATCCGCCCGTTCCACCAAAGCTTCTAGGCGGCACAAAACTTCTCGTTGGAGAGGATGAGCGGCCGAAGGTGGAGCATCGAAGTCACCCACATGCATCCAATTCAAGGAGGCAATTGCCTCCCTCAAATCATCACGAATTCGGACTCTTCGCGCAGCTCGGTGTTGGGAGCGGCGACCATAGCCCTTCAGCTTCGGCAGAGCATCTGGCCGAGGCAAAGGAAAGAGCCCACTTGCAGAGGTATGCCCCATCGGACCCATGAGCCTATCATCATCATAGTTCAATCCAGCGGTCAGGCTCACCCCGCTGGACCCCATCCGGTTCATGAGCTCGCCGCCGGAGGTTCCAGCCCTTTCCCTCGCCCACCACGGCGTTTGGGTTTTGGGGCTCCTCCGGCAGGAAGGTTGCCATCTGCTGCGGCTGCTGCTGCTTCTTCTTGAACTCCACCTGGTCGACGAAGTTCTCTCATCTTATGGCGGGCTTGATAGAGCTCGACTTCCTCCTTCCCCCGCCTTGCAGCCCATGTCTTGAGCTGGGGCATCACTAGGTCCTCGGGCCCAGTGTATCCAGTGAACAGCTTTGCGTTGCCCCAATCCGGAGCACCAGATCCACCGGCGGCATAGGCGTCGACTATGCATTGGACTCTCCTGGCAACAGTCTCAAAGCTCGCCAGGACCGGCATGTTGAGCTGGTCAAAGGTGCCCCCAAGATAGAGCACGTCCATGAGGCACCTGAGCTCATGCTTCACCCGGTCTTGATCTGAAATCGATTTCTGACGTGCCCACAGTTCCAACCATTGCTTAGGGTCACCACCAAACTTCATCATGTGCTTCAGAAGATGAAGCACCGTCGATGGGCCCTCGCAGGGCCAGTCCTCATAGTGGTAGTCTTTGCTGTCGGCAACCACCACTCGCCACTCTTTGAATCTGGCGCCCTGGTGGTCGTAGTCAACCATCAAAGTTCGAGCGTCACTGGATCCCTCTTCGTTCTCGTGAATCTCGGTTGCCTGATGGGGTGAAGGAGACGGGGAGCCGGCATCACCCCGACGAGCACGAACGAACTCTGCGGCATCCGTGGTCAAAATCAGTTCTGCCTTTGCCCAGCCCGAGGCGACCCGAATGAGTCCTGTGTGGCCTCCAAGCATCAAGTCACGACTGGGATCGACTCGGGCATAGTCCCCAATCTTGTACTGATCAATATTTTCGGTGATCAGCCAAACTTGAGACGGGTCAGCTTCAACGATAGGTCTGGTCACCCGATCATCATCCACGGAGGTATCTCCCCCGGCCACCACCCCAGCACCCATGGCTCTGCGATTCGCGGGCCCTTTGTCAGTCAGTCGGTGCAGCACCAAGGGACCCAAGAAAACATCCGTGTCCTGGACGACGCCCTTGGTGTCCACGACGTGGTCCGGTCTCCAATCAGGATCAAAACTGGCTTCCTTTGAGCCCTCGCGAAAAGCCTGCTTGATGTAGGTACGAAGGAGCTGGTCATCATTGATGGGCTTTGCAAACCTGTAAGAACCACCACCTACTCTAGACCAGTATCTAAAATCTTTCCCTTTCACTTTGAATTTGGACGGTCCATCACCTCCACTGCATGACAAGTCCTCAGCATACATGTCAAGGTCGGGCGTCAGCACGTACCACTCCAGATCCGTGAGGCGCCAAAGCACTAATCGCTCATGCCATAGAACATCATCATCGTAGAAAACTGCTAGGGTCAACCCAGGAAAGAGGTCGGGAAACGATGCCATGCCCTTTTCTTCTATGACTAGGGGACGACTCTACTTGCCGAACAGTTCCACAACAGCACCAAGCCCCAGCCACACTCCCGGCACCGGCCAAGCAACCGAGTCCTGCCACAATCCCAAAGTCCTGCTTCACTCCACAAAGGCAGTTGCACTGGCAATTGGCCTCAAAGCGGCCTTCAACCGCAGCGGGAGGCAAGAACCCGGGACTATCCACCTTCGGTCGAAGCCCTGCTTGGAGCGCCTGAGAAAGCAATGCCAAAGCTATGGCTTCCCACCGCATTGCGGCCTACCCCTTTCAGCTTGAGCAGCCACGGAGTGACCATTCCGTGTTCCTAACATCTTCCCGTGCACGCACTTCCATATTATACATATACATATAGTAAATTATAGTAAGCATCTCAGTAGTATCGCTGGGTCTTCAAATAAGTCAGGTTGGCTAGCCATTCTACCTCTGGCCTGTGGCCAAAACCTTCCAATGTTACCTGGAGTCTCAAAGTCATTACCGCAGAACATGGGTACAACTACATGCTTTTTATAAGGTCATATATCCCGTTTTTCGTTCGGGTACGAACGTGTACCAACGGGTCCAGGCACTTCCAGGAAGCACCGTGACACCCGTCTCACCTTGACGAGGAACAGCTGGTAGATCAGTGGAGCCTCGCTGTGCGCGAGGAAGCACAGCAGTGCGATGCCAAAGCCCTGCGGTAAGCCCGAGATGTTCAGCGCCACCTGCGAACCGCGGAGATGCCGCGGAGCCGCTGGCATGCCGTGGCGTGAGCCGGGCTGTAGGGACTGTGTGGCACATGAGAGGGATGAACGGCCACATGTAGGTGTGGATCATGAAGAACAGAACTTGAGAGGAGGGAGACACGAAAGGTAAGACAGCGGGAAGAGAAGAGAACGCGAGAGGCAGGAACAAAAATGCAATGTTCGACATGGTGATTTATCCCCTCGGAGGCGACCTTTCGTACATATATGTTCATATGCACTTTAAATGTTCAAACATGTGCTCTCGAAATGTTCAAAAAGACATGGCTCAGATCATCGGTGAGCATTGAATCGGAACATCATAGGATTTGAACTATCCTGAAACCAGAAGAGGCTCACGAAGACGCTCCCCAGGAGAGAATTGACGTGCTTCACAAAACAAACTCTAGGTATGTATCCCCTCGGGGAACACCTTTCGTGATTAGAATTTCATATTGACTCTTTCTGAATGTTCAAGAGGGTTTCAACTATCCTGAAATCATGAGAGGCTCACGAAGACGATCTCCAGGAGAGAATTGATTTTAGAGGGGGGGAGGGGGGGGGGGGG